TCGTCAAAATTCCCCCTGTAAGGGGGACACGCCCGTCTTAAGACTTGAAGGCTCTGGGCTCCCGGGCGGGTGCCGTCTCCCCCTCCCAGGCGCGAAGTCCTCTTGGAGGAGGGGGGGGGGTTCTGAGGGATGTGGGGCTTTGGGGGGGGGTTCTGGGGGAGGAGGGGGGGGGATGGGGGGTTCTTGGAGGAGGGGGGGGGGTTCTGGGGGACCGGGGAGGCTTTCGGGGGAAGGCTCTGGAGGAGGGGGGGGGACGAGGGAGGGAGAGGCCTTCGGTTATGGTGTTCCAGCCTATACTGGCCTGAATCACCAGAACGAATTTCGAACGAGGAGGGGGGGGGGTTCTGGGGGACCGGGGAGGCTTTCGGGGGAAGGCTCTGGAGGAGGGGGGGGGACGAGGGAGGGAGAGGCCTTCGGTTATGGTGTTCCAGCCTATACTGGCCTGAATCACCAGAACGAATTTCGAACGAGGAGGGGGGGGGTTCTGGGGGACGGGGGGGGCTTTCGGGGGAGGACTCTGGAGGAGGGGGGGGGGTCGAGGGAGGGAGAGGTCTTCGGTTATGATGTTCCAGCCTATACTGGCCTGAATCACCAGAACGAATTTCGAACGAGGAGGGGAGGGTTTCTGGGGTATGGGGGAGGCTTTCGGGGGAAGACTCTGGAGGACGGGGGGGTCGAGGGAGGGAGAGGTCTTCGGTTATGATGTTCCAGCCTACACTGGCCTGAATCACCAGAAAGAACTTCGAACACCAAAAAAGTACCGAAACTCAACGGTTGTCACGTGTCGGGCCCTGGGGAGCACTCGTTCGACACTGTTTCGATACTGTTTCGGCACAGTTCCGGGTGCTCGGAATTATTCCTGGGTCGTGAAGCATTCGGAGGAGGGGTTGTCAGGAGTGGGGGACGTTTTCTGCTGAGGGCGAGTTTTTCGGAGGCGGGCGAAGCCTTCGGATGAGGGGGAGGTTTTCGGGGGAGGGGGGGTGTCCGGATGAAGGGGCAAGTTTCAAGAGAGGGCGAAGCCTGCGGAGGAGGGGAGGGTTTTCGGATGAGAGGATCTGTTCAAGTGAGGGCGAGGTCTTCAAAGGAGGGGAGGTTTTCGGGGGGGGGGAGGTTTTCGGAGGTCTTCGGAGGGGAAAATTTTCGGGGAAGGGGGGGGCCGCATGAGGGAGCGGTCTCCCGGAGTCTTTCGAGGAGGGGGATGTTCTTGCCAGAGGGTGAGGTTTCTGGATGAAGGGGGAGGCTTTCGGAGGAGGGCGAAGCCTTCGGAAGGGAGAAACGCTTTCGGGAGAGAGGAGGGGGTCGGAGGGGGGGGAAGCTTTCGAGGAGGGGGAGGCTTTCGGGAGAGGGGGAGGTGTTCGGGGGAAGGGGAGGTGCTCGGAGGAGGGCGAAGGCGTCGGAGGGGAATGTTCGGGGGAGGAAGAGATGTTCGGAGGAGGTGGAATTTTGTCGGAGGAGGGCGCAACCTTTGGAGGAGGGGGAACCTTCTGGGGAAGGGAGAGGTTTTCGGATGCGGGGGAAGGGGGGGGGTTCTGGGCAATTTCATGCTTGTCAGTGAACGCAGGGGCTTCAAGGAGGAAGGGTTCCAACTCGACTCTGGCTACCGGATGCCACAACGGGAGTACGTACCAAGAAGCTGTAGGCCGCTGAGCTGGGAAGATACGACCCACCTCAGCTCCCCCGAAGGAAGGTGGATTGCAGCGGGCACGTTTGCGGGAAGGGGGGGAGGGAATTTGAAGCCATCGGCGGCGCGGGGCCGGCTACCACCCCGACCATGGAAGGCTGCCGTGGCGCCTGCACCCTAGGAGTGCACCCGAGTTACCGCACCCTTCCCCAGGAGCCCCTCTGCCGAAAGCGCAGCTCCCTTGGAAATGATACTTCTGGGCACGCTCCTGCGCGTCAGTGCATGCATGGATGCCCCTGCGGGAGCGCAGGGCAGCTGCAAGCCGCTGAGCTGGGCAGATACGACCCAGCCTGGCCATCGCTCGGACGTCCATTCCCTGTGTTTTTTTTGGTTTCGTGCGTGGTTGTTTTGCATAATGATCAAGGATGCTCCTCGATGGCCCTCGCCGAGAGAAGAATGCACACGTCCGAGCGATGCCAAGCAGCTCAGCCATACCCCTCGAGGCCAAAGGAACGACAACGTCGCCTGGCCGCACCCCGTGGAGGCAAGGTAGCCTCAAGGACGCGAGCCCGTGGGCGTTGGGTTCGGGCAGCGCGCGCCGGCTTGGATGAAGAGGCTGAGGCGCTCGTCCTCTTTCCTCCGTAGATGCACTTTTTTGATCTGCGGGGCGAGAGCGAACCTCTTCCGCTGAAAGCTAAGCGGGACGCGCACAGCTTTAATTAGCAGAAAGGGCGGAAGAAGGCGGGGCCTCGCGCGGCCGGAAGTGGGCGAAGCCCAGGGATCAGGCGGTGCCGAAGTGGACGTGCAGGAAAAATCAGCAAATACACGGAACGCATGGTGTCTGGGCTGCTCCGACCGCCCTGCGCATGTACTACCTCGTCTGGCGCTGGCTCCCGGTGTCTGTACCACTGCGCACCTCCTCTGCGGAGGGAGTGCGCGCCCTTGCCCGCCTTCGGCAGTACGGCGTGCAGGGCTTTCCGAAAGCTCGGCCGATAGCTCGCGAGGAGCTGCGCAACCTGTAACGGAGAATAACTTGGCGGTGGACAAACCTCCCTTTAGTAAATCTCCCCATCGTGAAAACGACCTAGGGCCGAAATCGACGTATCTGGACCCGCAAAAATGACGGCCGCGACGCCCTCTCGCGAACCGAAGACGGACAATTCGCTAATCGACGTGTCAGGGTAGGAGGTCTGTCCACCTCCGAATAGCGCTCCGTCCACGGCTGCGGGCCAAAGCCATCGACTCCGCGGTCTCCGTCCACGGCTCCGTCTGCGGACTTGAGGCCATCGGCGGCGCGGGGCCGGCGACCACTCCGACCATGGCAGGCAGCCGTGGCGCCTGCACCAGACCCAGGAGTGCACCCGAGTTGCCGCACCCTTCTCCCCAGGAGCTCCTCTCCCGAAAGCACGGCTCCCTCGGAACGAGAGCTTCGCGGAATGGACAGGTACTCGGACGAGGGAGAGCCTTTCTGTTGAGGGGGAGGTTTTGGAGTAGGGCGAAGCCCTCGGAGGAAGGAGGGCGATCGAGGAGGCGGGAGAAGGATCCTGCAGCCTTCCTCTGTCTTGTCCATATCCTCATTAGTGCCGCCATCATCATCATCATCATCATCATCATCATCATCATCATCATCATCATCATCATCATCATCATCATCATCATCATCTTCATCATCATCATCAGCAGCAGCAGCAGCATCAGCAGCATCATCATCATCATCATCATCATCATCAGCATCATCATCAGCATCATCATCATCATTATCGTCTACATCATCATCAGCAGCAGCATCATCAGCATCATCATCAGCATCATCATCAACATCATCATCAGCACCATCATCAGCAGCAGTAGCAGGAGAAGCAGCAGCAGCCACATCAACATCAACATCGGCATCATCATTTTCATGGTCATACTCATACTTCTACTCCGCACCGTCACCGTCGCCATAATCAGAATCGTCATCAGCAGCAGCATCATCATCATCGTGATTACCATCATCAGCATCATGATCATCCTAATCATCATGATCATCAACATCATCATCATCAACATCGTATTCAGCAGTATCACTGTCACCCGCATCATCACCGTCATCATCATCATCATCAGCATCATCATCATCATACTCATCATTAACATCATCATCATCCTCATCATCATCACCATAGTCATCATTATCATCATCGTCGTCTTTATCATCCCTATCTCCATCAGCATCAACATCATCATACACATCATCATTAGCATCATCATAATCATCATCAACATCATGATCAGGATCACGATTATCAGCATCATCATCAAAAGTAGCATCATACTCCACCTCCTCACCATTTTCATCACAACCGTCATCACCATCACACTACCGTCATCATTGCCAGCAATATCATCATCATAATCACCATCAACATCATCATATCTATATATAAAACAATAATTAGCAACATCATCGTCATACCAAACGTATTCGTTATCGTTGTCATCATCAGCATCGCCATCAGCACCACACTACTTACTCGTATTCATCATCGTCAGCATCAAAATCATGAGGATCAGCATCAGCATTAGCATCAGCATCAGCATCAGCATCAGCATGATCATCATCATCATCATCATCAGCATCATCATCATCATCATTAGCAGCATCACCATCGTAATCATCACCACCATCACCACCATCACCACCATCACAATCTCCAGCGTCCATCGTCATCATCATCAGTAGCAGCATCAACATCAGCAACATCATCATCATCACCATCATCAGCAGCAATAGCATCAGAAACAGCAACATTAACATCATCATCATCATCATCATCATCATCATCACCATCATCATCATTGTCATCATCAACACCGTCATCAACAAGGGTGTCTTAAGGGGCCTCTTACGGGATTTCTTGAGGATCCCTTAAGGGGCTTCTAAGGCCCTCCTCAAGGGCCTCTCAAGAGACCTCCTAGAGCTCCCGAGCCTCTAAACCTGCCGTTGCAAAGTATACGGATTTCAAGCTCTGGTGTACAAGGAAGTCGGAGGGTGTAACACCTCAAACCATGGAGTGTAAGGTTTCAAACTCTGGATTCCCAGGTTTCCCACCCGGGCCTCACAGCGCCTTCTCCGTTCTCGGGTGCGGGCCCGACTTGGTATTACTGGCCTCTTTGTGGCCAATTATGGGATCCCTGCAGCCAAAAGTGTTGCCACCTCTTGCGGGCGCATGTCTTACTCCTGCCGGCTTCCGCTGGCCCCTCCGCTGGCGGAGCCGCCCCCCGCTTTACGTCCGCCGCCCTTCCGCCGAGGAGGCCATGGCGACCACTTAGCACATCCTCGAGACGCAGTGAGGGGGCGGGAGGGATGCGGAGAGGAGACAGGGAGAGGTCCTGCGGCCCAACGCGGCCGGCGAGTGCGGGCGCCGCGGCGATCAGGGCGCCGATGCCCAACCCTTCCGCAGCGTGCGGCTCCTCGTCGTCGCCGCCGCCGACGCCAGCCACGACGACGACGACGGCGACGGCGACGACGGCAACGAAGACGACAACCATAACGACGACGACGGCACGTCGCCGCCGCCATCGCGGCTGCCGCCGTCGCCGCCGCCGTCGCCCGTCGCTTCCGCCGTCGCCATCGTCGTTGTGATTGCCGTCGTCGTCGTTGTGGTCGTCGTCGCCGCCGCCGCCGTCGTGGTCGAGGCCGTCGTCGTGGCCGTCGTCGTCGTCATCGTCGTCGTGGTCGTCGTGGTCGTCATCGTGGCCGTGGTCGTGATCGTGCGCGTCGTCGTCGTCGAGGCCGTCGTCGTCGTGGCCGTCGCCATCAGCTTTCGAAGGGTCAAAACGTTTCGAGGATTGATTGGGGCCTCCGCGGCCTCCAGACTCCCCTGGAGACCTTCACAGGCATTCGGGCTCCTCTGGAGACCTTACGAGACCGTCTTTGTGGTCGTCGTTATCGCAGTCCTCGTCGTCGTCGTCCTCGTCCTCGTCCTCGTCCTCGTCCTCGTCGGAGGCTTTCGTTGGATTTCGGATGTTTTGACAGGTGTTCGGACGTGTACAGACCTCCCGCGGAACATCCCCAGGCCTCCAGAGACCGTCGTCGTCATCGTTCTCCTCCTCCTCCTCCTCCTCTTCCGCCTGCTCCTCCCCCTCCTCCTCCCCCGCCCTCCCTTACTCCATCCATCCCTCCTTCGATTCTCCCCTCCTCTCCCACCCCGCTCCATCTGGGCCTCGGAAGCCCCGCGGGGGGTCCAGGCAGGCCGGAGAGCCCCCCCCGAGGCTCAGAGAGCGAGGGAGGCAGGCAGGCAGAGAGACATGCATGCCAGGCGCGTGCGCCCCACTGAGGCTACATACGAATCGAATCGCAGCTTTGGAAGACGAGGTACGGCGGAGCGCCACATTGGGCAGACGCTGTGGCGGGACCAGGGCGAGGAGGAGGAGGAGGGGGAGGCGGAGGAGGAGGAGGAGGAGGAGGAGGAGGAGGAGGAGGACCCGGACCTCCGACGTCGTGCTTTTTCAACTCCATGGGCCCCGGAGCCCTCGCCCCTCTCCCAGGGGGCTGGTTCTTCGTCCGGGCAGATTGTTCGACGGGGGCCCACAAATCGCCCCAGGAGCCCGAAGTTGAGGATAAGCGCCGGGATTCCCCAGACAAGAATGCGGCAGAGGTCTGGGGAGGCTCCAAGCCGATCGGCTCCGCCCGCGAGGTCGAAGGCAAGGTCGGAGACAGGCTCAGAAGTAGCAGGTGGCAGGCAGGAGGTAAGGTAAGGTAAGACCCCGCAGAGCCGGCTCCTGGTAAACACATCGAGCACGGACCGGCCAGCTTGGGGGATGCGACCCTTCTGATCGCCCTGTCACGAGTCGGGAAGAATCCCACCAGCCCTCTGGGCGTCGGTGGTTTAGGGAGTTTCCTCTTCCACCCCTCCTTCTTCCCCTTCGGTGAGGGGTTTACCCCTCCCCCTACCCCCTCCCCATGGACCTGGACAAGGGGTTTCGCGAGTCGTCGGAGCGTCCAAAACGGCCTCGGCGAGGAAGCCAAAAACATTGATTTTACTATGGTTTTAGCCCCATTTTGGCCTCCTGGGGGGGGACCCTAATCAAAGCTCCCCTCTTGTTTGATCGATCTCCTACAAGATGGCCCCAAGAAGCGCCCAGGAGGCCCCAAGAGGTCCCAAGATGGCCCCAAGATGGCCCCAAGAGGCCCCCAAGAGGCACCCAGGAGGCCTCCAAGAGACCCCCAAGAGGCCTCAAGAGACCCCCCAGAGGCACCCAAGATGCTCCAAGAGGCCTCGGCGAGAATGCCAAATCATTGATTGTACGAAGGTTTTATCCACATGTTGGCCTCTTGGGGGGGCACTGATCAAGATGACTCCAAGAGCGATGGCTCAAGATATCCCAAGATGTCTCATAATGGCTTCCTCTGTGTGCTGCCCACTCCCCTGATCGAGGCAATTCCTCTGGGCATCGTTTCTGGATGGGCTGGTGGGGGTTCGCAAAGCGTCAACAGTTCAGGAATCGCTGAGAGAGAGAGGATCGAGGGATCGGGGACCGAGGATCCACGGCTCCCGGGGAGGAGGATCGAGGAGTTTCGAGCCTCCTCGCCGAAGAGGTCGGTCCCCTCCACGATGTCGTCGCTGTCGTCTGCCGCCGCCAGCTCGCGCTTCAGCTGCGCGACCGTGCCCTCGTCCAGGATGCCGCGCAGATCATGTTCCCACGCGGGGTCCATCAGCGGCAGGCAGATGCCACGGGGGTGGTGAGGGACACCCTGGGCCGAAAAAACAGCCTCGGGTTTCCGATGGCGAGTTCCGGAAGCCCTGAACCTCCCAAACATCGAATCCCTTGGAAGGGCGCGTTTTACTTCCGCCGGCCTCCGCAGGCTTTCCGCCGCCTTCCTCCGGCGGAGGCGGTCTCGTTTTCATTCCGCCAGCTTCCGCCGCCCCGCCGCCCTCCGCCGAGGAAGAGAGGGGCAGCAGGCGAAGCCTCTTTCTGGCACGGGTCATATATCGAGCGCGAAGGAAGCGGGCGCTGGAGGAAAGGGGCCCTGGATCTGTCTCGCTGCGCTCGGGCCCCCCGGGCCCCGGGGCCTCGGCAGCAAGACGGCCTGGAAGGAGGGGCTGGTCCTGTGCCTGGTCCCCGAGGAGACGCGGAGAGGTCTGGGACCGTTCTCCCCTGGGGCCCCCCCGTGCTTCCGTGGCGAAACAACTGGAAACCGCCCATGCGAACGACGGGAAGAAACGGGCATTGCGCGGGACGACGGAGCGACCGTGCGCGGTGTCTCGCGCGGGCGCCCGGCGCGGCACGCTTCACTGGAGACGAGGGCGCCCACGCGAGACCTTACGTGGGCAGCTTGCGCGCGAATGTCGGCGCAACCGAACCCGTTTTCCTGCGCCGGTCAAGTGGGCCCAGGAAACATAGGGTCGGAGGGGGCATCAGGCGCGGGTCTGCTCAGCGCTGGTGGGGTCCCAGGCTCTCGCCGCAAAGCTCCTCTGCAAGTGGGTCCCAGACAGAAGAGGAAAATTACGAAAACTATGTACAAGAAGAGAAAAACGGGGGAGGAGCCAGAGGAAAAGAGGAGGAGGCAAACGCACAGTGATCGCTCGATGCATGAAGAACCCACGTGTTCCTCTTACCCCCCCTGCATCCTCTTCCTTCTCATCCTCTTTGTTCTCCACGGTCGCATGCATGATTTTTTATTAAGTCCGCCGCCACCCCATCCTTAACGTCATCCTCCTCCTCCTGCCTCTCCTCCCTCTCCCCGTTCTCCTGATTAGCCCGATTCGCCTTGTGGCAAGCCGCCCGAGTCACGGACGGACGCCGCAACGGCCTGCGGCCGACGCCGCGGCAGCCCCAGGAGACTTCGACGTTCTCCCCAAAGCCGCTGAACTTGAAATAACTATGTACCGGGCAGGATCATACGAAATACGAAGGCTCTGACCCTACCAACGCAAACAGGGCAGGATCATCCGAAGGCTCTGTGACACCCCTATCAAATAGAGATGGCACAGTCAGGCACCAACACCAGCCACTAACCGTACATCAAAAAGTAACTGTTACAACTGCGCGCGACGCCACAACATGCTCCAGAAAGCAGGCCTCGGAAGAAACGTCAAACGCCACGAAGTCGCAGCTCCTGGTATGCGCACGGGGCAGGATCATCAGCCGGATCTGTGACGCCCCTGTCGTGACCGACGGGGCACGATCACCAGCAAGCACAGCGCCACCCCAATCCACGAAAGCGGGGCAGGATCGGCCTTTGGCTCTGGGACACCCCTGATAAGAACAGTCAGTGCAATAAGAGAGCCACCGGCCAAACAAACTGCACGCCAAAGATACGACTGTCTCATCTGCGCCTCGAGGACCGCGAGAAACTCCCAGGGGCGTGTCTTGGCAAAACGAAGTGTACATTTGACCCGACGCTTACGCGTCGCAGGATCTTGTGCCACGACAGGACCAACCTCTTTGAGTTTGAGAGCTTTCTGCGTGACATCACCACTCGACCACGCACACCTCGCGCAGATGTAATCCAAGCCGCCCCATTGCAAAGTGTGACCTTTACCCGCGAAGAACTTGCGAGCAGCCTGCTGCGGCGCCGCCACAGAATCAACGACCGAGTTCCCGATCAGCCCACCCGCGTCATCACCGGCCCCGGCAACCGCAACACGTCCAGCCTCGCCGCGCGCAGGTTGGAACGTCAAGCCCTTGTCCGCGCCGCAGGAGATGTCCGATTGCAGCCGCCGCGGCCCCGTCGGTTCACGGCGCGATCGAATGCCCCAGCATAGAATATCGAGATGCGCAGTGGTTCGGGCCCTCGCACCGCAAGGTCCGCACCGCCACTCTGGCAACCATCCAGACCGCCAAAAAACATGCTCCATCAAGGTGGCCCGAGGCCCATGCTGGCGCCGTGGTCTAGGAGGTCGCGCCCCCTTGCCCCATAGCTGCCGCTGGGATAAGAGGCACAACGAAAATGACAGATGCGTTGCCGTCGCATTCGCCTGCGACATAGCACGCGTCGAACCGATCGCAATGCCCCTCGGCAGGCCCGAAATCACGAGCACCTGACATGGAAAGTAATCAGCCCGAGCACCGCCCAACGCCCAGTCGCGGGTGGCCACCCGACGCGCCAACCTGCCACAGCTTCTCATCCCATGTCAAGGTGAGAAGGGAACCGAGCAAACATGGGCGGCTTTTCTTTTCCGTTATGCGTCTGCTCGGACGGCGCGCATCTGCGCCGCGCGCCGCGCCCCCGCCGCGGCGCCGGCAACGCCGCGGCGCGAGCCTGCAGAAATTTAAGCAGCCAGATGTGCAATAACGAATTCCAAATCGGGGGAACACTGTTGAACACCGCAAAGCTTGAAGCGCGCAATGGCGCCCAACGGCCCCAATAGTTCGTCGCGCGCCAGGCCCCCCCCGTAAACGGCCCCGCAGGAAATCATCAAACGGCCATCTGAACGAAGGCCCATCCGCAGCGTCTCAACAACTCGGGACTACTCAACGGGCCGGCAGAACCATCCGCGCGCAGTACGCCTGGCCCGTCAGAAAGCGAACTAACACAATCGCCGCACAAGTGCACGGTCGGGTTCAAAGTCGCATGCCCAATGGCCCAGGTAGCTGAGCAGCGCCAACGCTGATCACGCAGCATTCGTCGGTGATACCAGGCCGATGGATAGCACCGTGCCGAAGCGCCGAATCACGAAACCTCGCAAGCCCTTCTGGCACAAGGTGCTCCTCTTCCTCGTCAATCGGCCATTTGTTCACCGCATCACACTTGAAACAAGCATGTCCGCCAGTCCGACAATGCCTTGACACCCGCGACGCAAGGCATCAGCGACCTTCTCGCGGACAAGAAGCTCTACAATCGCCCGCGAAGACCCAGGCGATAGAGCACGCACCTCACCCGCGACTTTGGCATTGACCAGTGTAGCCGAAAGACCTCCAACCCGCGCCCCAAGCCCTCGTTCCCAGCGCACCGTGAAATCACCAGCGTGTGGACGACGTACAATCTTACACGCCATCCGTCACCCTCGAACGCCAGCGCGCAGCGGGGCACGACGCAGCATAGGTGGAACCTGCAGGAAGCTGGCCATCGCTTGGACGTCCATTCCCTGTGTTTTTTTCTGTTTCGTGCGTGTTTTTTTTTTTCTCGCCAAATGATCAAGAATGCTCCTCGATCGCCCTCGACGAGAAAAAATGCACACGTCCGAGCGATGGCAGGGAAGGCCCAATGTACTCCATGGTCGTCAAAGACCACCGAAGATGGTGGCATGCGCCAGCCACGAGTTGAAGCGACCAAACCACCGCCGCAATAGGACCGCGCGCTCGTGCCAAAGTAAGCTTATCCACGCCCGACGCGCGTCGAGCGATCTCCGATCAGCCTAGACTGATCAACTGCTCCCAGATCGGCCAAGGGCAAGGAAAGCCCCAAGCCGGAATAGCTTCGAAGACTGGGTAACACCAAGGATCGCGCTGAGTAGCAAGATACAACGTTCAACAAGCCCCCCGCTTGGAATCCCCAGCAATCGACGCAGCGACGCGCCTCCATTCTGCGAGCTCTGCGTCCGCGTTGCCGCTGGCGGCGGCGCCATGGCCTGCCGCGGGCAAGAACCCAGTTCTCCAAAGTCTCGTAATACTTAAACCAGACGTCCGCTCGAAATTCTGCACACACTTGCACCTGAGCTTGAGCTCTTGAAATCGCTGGCGCGCCGCGCTGCGTTCGACGCGGTAAGGGCATTGAAGGAGGACCCACTGGATGAAGAAACCAGGGCCTGGAAGACGGTGAAAATCAAATCGTAGATCGGCCATGGATTTACCGCCGCACTCGTCAAATGAGGAATCCTCCAGGGGCTGGAACCTGTTGCGCACATCCCTTGACCAACGTCCCCACCGAAGCCGATCCATGCAACTCGTGCCCCAGTATGTTCACGTGATCTTCACATGGGGGACCTGACACAAAATCGGACGCCTGCCTCGACGACGTATTCGCTGCCTTCGACGTTGATGCACACATCCTGACGTGCGAGCCTGATCCAACAACCCCAAATCTTTGCCATAAGTGAGGAAGCCCTGGAGAGCTGGAGAAAACAGCACCCGGAGCCCGTGCAAGCAGGAGACCATCCACTGTGCCGATGCGTCGTCCCCCAGCGCGCGCGGCATGACATCGCCACGCGCCGCGCCAGTCCGCGTACCGCTCGCGCCGCCAGTACCGCCAACATCGCGGTGGACTGACTGCATTCAGTGGAGATCACTTGCCACGACCGACAAAGCTCCGATCACCAGCCGTGGCATTGGACAGATCAAGGTCGAAGGTGGCACTGCAACGCCATCTAAGTCAACCAACCAGGAAAGCCCCCCAAACGACTCTGATCCGACGACACCATAGTTGACCCGCCCGGACGCCTACCAAGCAACCAACAGAGCTGTGACCGACTTTTACTTCAGCAAAACAGCCAGCTCAGCACTGCCGAAGCCGATGGAGATCTCACTGCGCATCCAGCTCCCCGACGATGGGGACGGTCAACCTGCTTCGACAAATTCTTAGCGAGGACCGAGCGCACTCTCGACCACAACATCAATAATAAACTTACCAAACAAATCAGACGACTAATTACCACCGTCGGACTTTGCCAACCGAGCCAACACATTCACAATGCGTCTAGTTGGTCACCAGCCACTATCTTAACAACGATGAAATAAAAGAGCTAGCGCCTCCAAGCCAGCGTCTGAGATATGCCACAAGGTGCTTGGCGCAATGCCAGCTTGACCTGCTGCCGCACGCGTGGGAAGCAAGTGCCGTCTTCTTCGAGTTGTCCACCGTGATCAAGGGTAACCTCTCCCACTGGACAACATCTCCAGGTCGCGCAGGAGCCGAATATCATGGCATGCCCATATATTGCACTATTTCTTCAATTCGCGCTCAGCCGGCCATATGGACTACCGTAGACCATGGTCTGCACCATTTCGGGCGACTGCACCACCTTGGAAAATTGATGCGCAACTCTCGTCCCTCGCACAAAAGACTGATCAGCCCACTGCCTCCGTGCCTTATGCCTTCCTGCAACCATGAGCTTTGTCTGTTCCGCCCCCTGAGCTTCAATGCTTTCCAATATGATGGTGACAGTGCCCATCAGGGAGATACCCAAACCACTCTGGAATATCATCCTGGCGAAGGACCCAACCATACGCAGTTGTGAATCCCGTCGTTGTGAAAATCACCTTCGGGGGATCTCCTTGTGGGGCCACTGAGCGTGTGAAGGGTGCGCCGAAATGGGGCGGGACCGCCACGCGGGCGGTGCAAATGGGGTTTGATGAAGAACCTTCCATGAGGCCATGAAACGAGTGTGGAGTTGGCTAAATTGGAGCGGGGCGGACGCTGCCATTAGGGCCTTCGGTCGAGCCCCTATATGTAGTCACGAAGCGTGATATGCTGGCCCTGGCGCTGGGACCTGCGGTGGAGCTCCCCATGGGGCCCCGAAGCGCTGTACTGGGTGGGGTGGGGGGGGGTGCATGCGGGCTGCGCCAAGGGGACCTGCGGTGGAGCTCCCTTATGGGGCCACGAAGCGCTGTTTTGGGTGGGGGGGACGCAAGCGGGTTCTGCCACTGGGACCTCCCGGTGCCACGAAACGCTGTACTAGGTGGGGGAAACGCAGGCAAGCTCCGCCAGTGGTACCCTCGGTGGAGCTCCCTACGGGGCCACGAAACGCTGTACTTGGCGGGGGGGACGCATGCGAGTTCTGCCCGGGGAGCTTCGGTGGAGCTCCCACGGGGCCACGAAACGCTGTACTGGGTGGGAAGAGGCGCATGCGAACTCCACCAGTGGGACCTTCGGTGGGACCTTCGGTGGAGCTCCCTCTGGGGCAACGAAGCGCTGTACTGGGTAGAGAAGACGCATGCGAGCTCCGCCACTGGGACTTTCGGTGCAGCTCCGAATGGGGCCACGAAACGCTGCACTGGGCGGGAAGCGCGCATGCACATTCCATCACTGAAAGCTTCGGTGGGGCTCCCCATGGGGCCACGAAGGGACGCATGCGGGTTCTGCCACTGGGACTTTCGGTGCAGCTCCCTATGGGGCCACGAAACGCTGTACTGGGCGGGGAGCGCGCATGCACGTCCCATCACTGGGAGCTTCGGTGGAACTCCCTCTTGGGCCCGAAACGTTGTAGTGGGCGGGGGGGACGCATAAGGGTTCCGCCAGTGGAACCTTCGGTGGAGCTCCCTACGGGGCCACGAAGCGCTGCTGTAGTGGGTGGGAAAGACGCATGCGGGTTCCGACACTGGGACCTTCGGTGGAGCTCCCCATGGGGACACGAAGCGCTGTACTGGGTGGGAAGGACGAATGCGGGTTCCGCCACTGGGACCTTCGGTGGAGCTCCCCATGGGGCCACGAAGCGCTGCACTGGGCGGGGGGGCGCATGCGAGTTCCGCCACTGGGACCTTCGGTGGAGCTCCCCATGGGGCCACGAAGCGCTGCACTGGGCGGGGGGGCGCATGCGAGAACCGCCACTGAGACCTTCGGTGGAGCTCGCCATAAGGACACGAAACACTGTACTAGGTGGGGGAAACGCATGCGAGTTCCGCCACTGGGACCTTCGGTGGAACTCCATATGGGGCCACGAAAAGCTGCACTGGGTGTTGCCGGAACAGAGACATGCGGAGGGCAGAGGCAAGGAGGGGGAGGAGGGAGGAGGAGGATGAGGAGGAGGAAGGAGACGCGGGGCGCTGTCTTTTCAAAACGAGGACCAACACCACAGGATGTCGGGGAAAAAACAAAGTATATCACATCTGGATACATGTTTCACAAACAAAGAGACCGCCGACGATATGGGAACACTGCTGCTTCGATATCTCACACAGGTCATTGGGCCGTGCAACCGTTGGCAGCCTGTAAGCTGCGGAAATGAGCATCCCATCTAGCCGCAATGTGCCTACAATTAACTTCCTTCGAAACGTAAGTACGCTTACGAGGAGGACACCACGCCACAATACCAGCCCTGCCCGAGTGTTTCTTACCCCTGCTCCTCCCCCGTTTCCTCCTTTCCTTTTTCCTCCTCCTCCTCCTCCTCCTCCTCCCTTTTCCTCCTCCTCTTCCTCCTCCTCCTCCTTCTCCTCTCCCTCCTCCTCCTCCTCCTCCTCCTCCTCCTCCTCCCTCCTCCTCCTCCTCTCATCATCATCATCATCATCATCATCATCATCATCATCATCATCATCATCATCATCATCATCATCATCATCATCATCATCATCATCATCATCATCATCATCATCATCATCATCATCATCATCATCATCATCATCATCATCATCATCATCATCATCATCATCATCATCTTCATCATCTCCTCATCCTCGCCCACCCCGCCGATATCTTCCGAAGACCTCCTCCTGAAACATCCCGAAACATTCAGAAACCTCAGAAAGACCTTTAGACCGAGCAGTTTCCATTCCTCGACGTCGGCGACGGCGACGTCGACGGCGACTGCGACGGCGACGACGACGACGACGACGACGACGACGACGACGACGACGACGACGACGACGACGGCGGCGGCGGCGGCGGCGACGACGACGACGACGGCGACGGCGGCGGCGACGACAACGGCGCCTGCGGCGCGGGCGGCGCCCTCCTTGCCGCCGAGGCGGCCAGGGACTGTTGCCTGGACTCCATCCACGACTTGACCTCCCCAGGGGACCAGGCTCCGGGGCTCTGAGATCGGCGGCTACGCCGCCGCCGCCGCCGTGGAGATCATCGTTGGAAAGAGAGAAAGAAGGAGGAAAGGAGGGAGGGAGGGAGGGAGGGAGGGCATCAGATCGTTCTGAACCTGCTGACTCTGGGGGGTCCGCGCGCTGCGCCCGAGTCTGCCAGACCGCCAGCTGCGAGGGCGGGCTGGGCTACCGACCAGCCCCATAAGCCAAGAGGCCACGGATGGAGAGCAGCAGCAGGAAGAAGAGGATGATGACGAGGCGGAGATGCGGGCGGGTGTGCATGAACGGATAGGGAGGAGGGGGGGGGAGAGAGAGAGAGAGAGATAGAGAGAGAGAGAGAAAGAGAGAGAGAGAGAGACCAGAGTAAGAGAGAGAGAGAGAGAGAGACCCAACTCAATGCTCGCTGGCCCAAGTGCTTGCCAACTGCACATGTGCAAGATCACGGCTGCTGGATCCAGGACTCTAGCCTCCCGCCTGCTAGTTCTGGACGACGGCGCCCATGGGAGGGAGAGAAGAGGGAGGGAGGGGAAGGAGGAGGAGAGGGAGGGAAGATCGAGGAGGTAGGAGGAGAGGGAGGGAGGGAGGGAGGGAGGGAGGGAAGGAGAGGAGAAGGAGGAGGACGAGGAGTGCACGTACCCAAAAAGGAAAGGACGAGGGCAAGCGGGCAACAAGCGAGACCAGGGCAAAGACTGTCCGCTCCTGTCCGACTACCGCGCGTCTACTTCCAGAGCAATGCTTCGACGGCGCTCGACCCTTCAGCTATCCAAGCTGGGGACGGCGAGGCGTGCTTCATTTTGTAAAAGCAGTTAAAGGCGAGCGCAGTCCACTGAATCGACCGCATCAACGAGATCTCGTTAGCAGGCTCAGACGGAAAGGCTGCGACGGGACCAACGCCCCAGATTGCAAGCGCGCTGTGGAGGTTGGGCGAGACGGGGGAGCAGAGGAGGCTCAGGAGGACCGAGCGGGCGAGGAAGAGGGGGAATGACTCGGGCGCCGCTGGGCACCCTAACACACACGACTTCTGCAGGCGAACGTGCATGCTATGGGGCGTCGCCCATCCACCTGCGAGTGTCTTATGCGCCACCCAGCGCCAGAACGGGCGGACGGATAGCATGGCATTCGTGAGAGCATTGCAGCAAGTAGCGAGCTCTGGGGGCGGAGGCGGCTGAGAGAAGCCCCAGGCTGCGAAGCACTTCACGGGCATGGCTGTGAATGGCGATGAGAGGGGGGCCCGCTGCTGCGCGAGCGCAACCGCGCGCTGCACCTTGGGGCGGTGCGGTGGCTCAGCGCTCGGGGCCTCGTGAAATTCACAGGCAGCTGCGCGGTTCGCCGCGGCCTGCGGCAGCTGCTAGCAACGGATCGGCAGTGGGGAATAGCTCCCATTCCTCACGGGGAGTGAAAGAGGCTGAGCGAGAGGCAGCGGCGACGGCTGAAATCTGATCAGAGAGAGGGACAGAAGGCGGGCACCATGCAGCAGTGGCACTGGCATCTACCTTGCGAAGTGCGACAGGCAGGGGATTGTGCATCTTAAGGAAAATGTAATGTTCACTGCGGGCAAACTTCTGATTGGGCGGAATGGACTGCGAGGCATAGCTGAGCGCTGAAACGGCTGAGGTAAACTGGGGGCGAGCGGTGGCAACACTTCCACTCTGCGTAAGCTGAAGAGAATTTGCCCCAAGTGCGACGACAACCGCCTTGTGGGGCTGCGCTGGGGGGGGGGGGGGCGCAAGCAGCTGAGCTGCGGCAAAGGGCTCACTGTCGGCGCGGAGCGAGTCGAACGAGAGCGCGTGGAGGCCAGTGTCGTCGGCGCAGTCGCCCAGGAAGCGCTTGTCGTAGTCGCGCATGCCGTTGTAGGTTTTGACGAGCGAGGCGGTGTGGCGAACGGGCGGGCCCATGGCGATCACCCATGCCGCGCCGCTCACGGGGTAGCCCTGGGGCGCACCAACATCGAGCGGGAACATGAGGTAATGAACGCCATCGTCTTTGAGGAAGCTGTTGGAGACGAGGTGCAGCTGGCGAGAGAAGTACATCAGGTCCTCAAGGACGCCGAGGTACTCCAGCGACGCGAGGAGCCAGCCACGGCCGAGCGGCGTGGGCGCAGCCGCGAGGTCGAAGCTGTTGAAGACGAGCTTGTGTTTGACGGCCTCAGGTTGAGCTCCAGCATGGCGCCTCTCGGTGCCGAAGTTGACGACGTGCTTGGTGAGATAGCGGCCCGCGACAATGCCTTGCTGCGAGTAATAAGCCCGCTCTGCCACGGCGGTTTTGTCGAGGAAGTTGGCCGCGTCAGCGATGGCCTAGATATCGGTGTACTTGAGGAGCCGCGGGCATGAGTCCACAGGGAGGCGAACCGTGGTGAGCTCGCTTGTGAGGTTGTTACCCTTCGGCAGGAGCGCGCGGTCAGAGTCGTTCAGGTCGGGGAGGAAGACGGTGTTGGAGCAGGGGTGCCCGGTGAGGGCCTCCAGCAGGCCCAGCGGCTCGTCGACGGTAAGCTGGGAGCAGCGCGGCAAGAGGCCGGGCCCGACGACAATGATGGGGTGGCTGAGCATGTGCATGACAATGCACTGCTGGGCCTCGAGGTCACGGTACGGCGCGGCCATCTTCATATTGAACTCGGCAGTGTCCTTGAGCGCGATGTGTCCAACGTCGATGATGGGGAACTTGGCGCCGAGCTCGGCGGTGGAATGCAAGCGCCATGCAAGGCGAACGTCCTGGCGCCAGACCGACCAGGGATGGCTAGACGCGCCACGTGGCCTCAGCTGTGTCCGCGAAGAGCGACTGGAACGACGAGAGGTCGGCTCCGCGCTCAAGGTCGCGGAAGGTGGCGTACTCGAACGCCTTCTCGTTCCACTCCAGGATGGCGGGGCCGGCTGGTCCCTTGACGTCGAGGCGCACGACGGGCACGGCGTTGCAATGGATCTCGCCCTTGGCTCGGTAGGCTCTCCAAGACTTTTGAGGGCGCAGATGCGAAGCGCTTCCATCTGCCTCCCGCGTCGCGAAGGGCTCGCGCGAGCGCCAGTGCGCGCGGGATGGCCACGTCGCGCCCGCCTTTGACTTGTAGCACAAATCTACGAGCGGGTTCATCTCCGCGAAGTTCGACGGCGTCTGAGCCCAGGTTGGCGGAGGCGATCCACTCCTGAAGGTCATTGAGGAGCGCGTCGGGCGCGATGAGCCGCTGAGCCCCGATGGTGAAGATCGCGGGGTCGATCTCGCGGCCCCAATCAGCGAGCTTGGTAAGGTCCGCGATCGGCGCCTGGGCCTCGGCGAGCGCGAGGGTCTCACGCATCTGGTCGAGCTGCAGCCACATCTTCTTGTGTTCTTCTGCCTGACGGTCTTGTTCTCTACGTGTGCGAGCGACAACGTCATGGAGGGTGTCGACTCGTCGTTCGGTAGCTTGGACTTGCTGTGCGAGAAGTTGGCGAAAGTTTTCGCGTGAATCATTGAGCAATATGTTGGCTTGAGCTTGACATGTATTAGCAGCGTGTGCAACTTGACCTTGCATGAGATCTCGAAGAGCTTTGTCGAGATCGGGGTCCAGGCCTGGGAGACGAACGGGGTCGCCTGGCGTGGCAGTATCGGTACCGGCGGTGGCTCCGACGGCGGCAGCTCCTCCAACGGCTGCTGCGCCTCCAGAACGCCATGGGTCAGCAGCAGCGAGAGGAACTTGGCGTAGTGCTTCACCTGGAGGATGCGAGGGTGGCTCGGTCCCTTCACCTGCTTGAAATTGGCGTGCATTGACGGCGACGGCGGCGCGTGCTGGAGCTGCAGCTTATTCTTCTCCAGTGTCCATGGCGATGTGAGGCGGCTGTTGGTGTGTACGAGCTGAAGAGCGACAGGAGCGGGCTGCATGTCCAGATGCGCGCCCTGAGCGCGGCGCAGCCTGAGTAGCGGGGGCGGCGTCGCCGAGCGAGACCAGGGTGGCAAGCCCTGCAGCTGCTCGCCCACTTTTATCAGCACGGCCAGGGTGACCTCGTGCAGCGCGATCTTGATCGAGACGTTCACGCTCTCGTCGGCGTTCTTTCCTTTTTCGGCTAGCATATGGGGCACTTCGGAGGTAGAGCGTTCTTCGCTGGAGGATGACACGGTTGAGACTGAAGGCTGCCGTCGAGCAATCTGCTGTTCTGCTTCAGGAAGTTGAGGGCGAGAGCGTCGGACTCCAGGGCCTTCGCGGGGTCACCACGTGGAAGCAGCTGTAGCTGGGGAGCGAGCAAGTCGACGTCCAGCGGGTTATGGATGTGAACGACGGCGACGTAGGACAGGCCGAAGTCCAGCTGGTGCGCGGCGACGGGAGTAGGTAAGCACGACCGCGCAATACGAAGGGCAGCCCGCAATGCCAGCACAATGAGCAGGAATGGGCGGCCGCAAGCCCCTGAGTGTGGCGGCAAAACGAGTGGGCGCCAGCTCACCCCTGGTGGTGGCTGGAAACAGTTGGGATCTGGCCTCGGCTCAGAGGTCTCCATGCGGCAGCAACGCGACATGGTGACTTGAGCCAAAGAGGCTACGGAAGGAGGAGGACGAGGAGGAGGAAGAGGAGGACGAGGACGAGGAGGAGGAGGAGGAGGAGGAGGAGGAGGAGGAGGAGGAGGAGTAGGAGGAGAGGGAGGACGACGACGACGACGAGGAGAGGGGAGGGGGGAAGGACGGACGAGGAGGAGAAAGGGGAGGAGCAGAGCAAGCGAAGCGGGAGGAGGACCCCCGATGGCCCTCCCGTGGAGGCGCCAGACATCCCCGATGCGCACCGCACGGCCGCGCTGCGCACAGGGCAGAAAGCGCACCCCGAGGGCGCGCGGGGACCCTCTGGAGGGCGGCGCGGCTCGCGGCAAGGCCGGCGAGCGCACGGGCACCCCGGCGGCGCTGGCCGACGAACCGCGGCCCGCTGCCCACCCCACGGTGGCCTCGCGCGGCGGCCTCCCGCCGTCGCGGCGGCAGCCCCGGCGACCCACGCGGTGCCCTCCTCCCCCTCTTCCTCCTCCCCCT